AATGATGGGAAAGATAGAAAAGACGAGAAAGCACTGATAGGAATATTGTGTAAAAGGCTGAATTGGGAAATGTAACCCTGTAGCCGCTTTTCTTGTCAGGCGGACTACTCACCGGCTACTACTACTACCTACCTACCGGCACTCAAATTATCAACGAGGTTAACACGAACAAAATCAAAAGTAACTCGCTTCCTACCATAACAAGACACTTTTAACACCAATACAATTTGTCAGGATAAATTCTTACTATGACTTACCAATAAAACAACGCCATCTAGTGGTCCGATGGCGGACGAAGAACATCAATACTATAGTTACAATCTACTTTGGGTAAATCTATAAATGCGACGCGGGCAATAGGTGTCGCTGTTTACAACTCCGTACGCAATACAAATATAATAAAAAAATAACTGTTACAACCCCCCTAAAAGGCTTTATCCCTATAGTTTCACACTTTCACTTGACTGCCTCGTTGGTGCAGTGGTATAATCTGAAATTATTTGTGACGGGATTTGGGTGTTTTCTATGTAAAATATTTACGTATTTACTAAAAAAGTATTTTATAAGTCAATCTAGCTTTCACAGTACACGCTCTGCTTAGTTTAAATTTATATGGCGTTGTGTGTCAGATGTCCCAAATATTATTATTAAAATTAGTATTAATTAATTAGTATTCATAAAAAAAAAACCATGGTCATTTTTCATTATTACGTAAGTGGTATTTACTTCCAAATACAATATAGAATTATGTAATGAGTTGTTTGCATGTATGTGGTTTATATGTAGTATGTGTTTGTTTATAGTGTACTATTGAAAACTGGTTAAAAAGAAAAATCTAAATTTAAATAATAAACGAATGTGAAATAATTCATGTCTTTTAATTCAAATAAAACCTAAACTGTCTGGGGAGTTTATGGCTGAAATGAAAGGTGGTCTGTGCCAAAAAAAGTTTTATGGAAGAAATTGTCGACTGTGGTATTCCTGGACCTCAATCAAAGACCATCAAAGACTGGCAACGCGCTGGTGGCTACTGAGTTGCAGGTATTCATGGACGACGGTAGTCACTTTCTATCAGGTGACCCATCTGCTCGTTTGCTCCTATATCATAAAAATAATCATGTTTTATCGAGCAGACGGATGAACCGATGCTAAGTGATTTAAAAGACACAAGTGCGTTACCCCTCTTTCAACCCCCTCAGAATCCTTAGAATTTCCGGGCTCAAGGAGACCGTGGTATCATTCCGGTCGAGCTGACCGTGTGTGTACAGAAGCACGTCTCTCCCTCGGAACCAATATCTTTATATATTTTTATTTTTCTGTACGTCTAACATAATATAATTAAATAACTTACCTCATTATATACCTGCCATACACAAATCTCTGCATCACCCCAAGGTTGACTGGAAGAAAATGCCTATGGCATTAAGTCCGCCTTATGCAATGTATTTGCAGGAAGTATAAATAAATAAATAAATATAGGCAACATTTTATGATGATGAACTCTCGCTCTGACTGCCCAGAATAGGCCGTGCACAGAAGGTTATGATGATTGGAACTATCCACGGAGATTGCTGTGGGTCCCCGAAACCCGAACTGCAGTCATCCGAGAGAATTTCTAGGTATAGGCTGTCATACGTTCTATAGTCGGTAGTGACATATTTTTCCATGGCCGTATCCTTCTGTCACGTATCACACGTCAAACCCGAGACGCACCTTTTAGTGCTTCATGTCATCCTGAGTGTGGTGTGGATGGATGAGACGGGTTTTCCTCTCCACGACCCATAGTGGCCTTTTGCGATGTGGCGATGATAACGTGTGCAAGGATGAAAAGTTATTTCTACGGGCCGGGCATATATGTTTTGATAAAAGCTGTTCCCTTATCGCTGCTATTTTAGGTGCAGTATGGCACACAGTGTGATTTTAATCGGATCGATTCCGACTCATCGCCCAACCGCAAAACCCTAGTGGGATGAAAGCCCGAGGATATTTCAGCACTCAATGTAAATGGCATATAAAAATTAGTGTTTAAGTTAGCAGCATCCATGTGTGGTGGTATGTACTTACTTTCAGTTAACCCGTTTGCTCGTTTATTCCCAAAAAATATATAAATAGTATTAACTGTCTATTAGAACCTATCAGCTTTTTATTTCAAGTACAATTCATGCGACCTTTCTAGACGAGGTTATATTCTCAATTCCAGAAGAATCCTCGTTGACATTGTGGAGTGCTGTACGGATCACGCGATCGCAAACTATATTTCTGAGCATTTCACCATTTAAATCACTACTCCATACAAAATAAAGCTCAGAATAGCTTCAACTATGTGATCAAATCAAATTGTATAGTGACACGGATGCGCAGATGATCTTGAATTGCAATTAGGTGGCAGAACTATTTGAGCTGTCTAGGTCTTATCTGGAATGACAGTTTGATTGTATAAGTTTCCTATTTGTAAATGTACAAAAGGTATAACCGACTTCATTGCCCCACGATCACGTTATCAGGATGTAGATGAATTTCTACCTGAGGTTATTCGCCAAAGAGCTAAAGACTAAAGCAGCAATCTGATCACGTTGTCGATAAACCGATGGCCGTTGGAGCAACAGGATTCTAAAGTGACGATCAAAAGTTGGAAAACGGAAGAAAAATCCCCCAATTAAATGCTGTACGACCTGAAAAAGGTAGCTGGGACGGACCAAATGCAAAAGACGGAATTCCGTGTATTATAGAGCACATTAGGAGATGCCTATTTCTAACAGTATCCTGCTGTAGTCTAATTAATTGATATCAAGAATTTACATTAAAAAGCCTTTATGTTACACTGATTTCCCTTTGCCTGGCCCTTTCCCATTTTATTCGACCAGCTGGCTCCAGGCAGCTCGGTCCTGAGTCGTCTCTCTGTTGACTTACTTCTTAGAGGTAAGGGATCCTCCTCGTCCTCAGGGTTTAGTTTCGATATCTAGCACTGTTCTGGTCATGTGGTCGGATAGTCGCCTCATAACGTGTACTTTTTCAATTGGAGGTGAACTATTTTCTTCAAATTTTAGTAGGACCAGGCATCATTTCCAAATTATAGAAAACGGCTCACATTTGGCAGAGATATCCCTACCATACATACTATTTAAAAAAGTCTAATTAAAAACTGTTTTTTTTTAACTGGGTTAAAAGTGGATATTAGTTTATTTTTAAATTATAAAATAATTGTATTGTATATAGTTTACACAATGACAAGTAATAGTTTAATGAGACTAGCATGACGGGTTTTCTTCGTGGGCGTGCTGAACACCAATAATATTCCAGGATAATATACAACTATAGGTAGATGTTGCCTTCTGAAGGGAAGTCCATACATGTTATAAGAGCACAAATTCTATAGAAAACTACAGAATCGATGAAGAATACGTTTATTCAAATAACCGACAAAGTAATCTGGACGAAGGGGCAGATAATCGAGATAACTACGTCTTACAATAAGATATGGATAATGAATAATACAGACTTCATAATTTCGACATTTTTAGTAACAGTAAGCATAGTTTGTAATAATATAAGTTATTATGGTGATATAGGCTGTCCGTGTGGTGACGGATTAAGAATACAGAGTGTCAGCACTCCTATTTATCCAAGGGTGTCGCAAGAGGCGACTAAAGGAGCAAACTACGCAGGACAACAGCACTGCAAAGAGAAGGAAAACTTGACACAAACCTTATACCAACCCGTCTAGCATGCGTGGTATAGTAGGCCAATACCTCCTCTCTCAGGAGAGGTATATGTCCAGCAGTGGACTATTAAAGGCTGTTGATGTGATGATGATGTGATGTGTGAAGGCTTGAGGAAGGTCGTGCTCCAGCCTCACAGAAGACCTGTGTTGAGTAATTTCTGAGTTGCTTTTCACTGAATATTCACTAGGAGTTATCGGTGGCCTAAATGACTCCGCGCGGCAAACTCAAATTCAAACTCAAACTCTCTTTATTTCATAAAAAAAATAAAATGGTTTGAAATCTTTTATGTAGACTAAAGTCATAGATCAACACACACAAAAGCAACAATCTCTGTTTTGTGAAATAGTAAGCAAATAAATTTAACAAAAATCAAACCCATACAAAATCTATGATATACCTGCGCCGATCTACAACCGCCCGTTTCCAAGGGGTTGAGCCTTATGAGAAGAAAGGGCAAACAAACTCATGGCCACTCTTTTGCAATTCACAGATAGATACAATGGCACTATTAAATATACATGGCAATGCATGTAACTGCCATGGGAGAGGCCTTTGTCCAGCAGTGGACTGCGATAGGCTGATGATGATGATGGGTGGTGGTAGCCACTTGCCATCAGGTGAATTTTGAGGAAGTGGTTTTGGAAAAAATAGTTAGAAAGAATTGAATTTTCTGCAGGTTTCCTAATTTCTTTTTGGATTCGGCGCAATGTTATATTGTAAAGGCTGATTCCTTAAGTGGTCCGCCACCTGTCTGTTGCCACTTTCCTTACGAAAGTAATAATTTTTAGACGGGACAGAGCCAGAAGATAAACTTGGCTAAGAAAACCTTGCAATTGAGAAGGAAGAGAGATTGTTCTACCTCTAAGTGGCTGAGGTTTTGTACCCGTATCCTACAATTGGATAGGCCAGGTGTGGATTCCATAAAGACACAATATTTATGGAATTCAACAAGCTCATGAACAATCATAATCCTATGAGTACTAAAAAACAGTTTGTCATTCTTAATACCAAAATCAAAAGTCTTAGACAGTACCAGCAGTCTGAACCACCTACCTTTTTTTAAATTTACTTTGTGTACACAACCTAACATGTGCGTGTCATTTTCTGTCCTTGAGAGCATCTCGAAAAGCACTTTACAGGCAATCAAGTCGTCAGAATGATTGGCCAATTTAGCAATCAACAGGTGCCAGGGTGCTCCAGTATACTCCGAGGCAGGATCAGACCACGTCGAGATATGAAAACTCAATGAGTGAAAAAATGGATTTATTTAAAATAAATATGATTCGATTACTCGTCTTGGCTGTCACAGGTAAGATGCCTTTGCCTATTGATAAAGAAATTATTTAGTTCTAATTTTAAATGATTTTGTTGTCATTTTGACGCTGTCTAAAAGTTCAGTTTTAAATTTTTAACCTGTTCGGGTATTGTTTTTGAAATGCCTTTTTTATTATTTTAAGTATTTTTTGCAACTAAATATTACGATTTTGGTGTTAAATTATATGAAGAAATGGGCAATAAGAATTTTGTTTAATTAATGTTAAAAAGTATTTGTACTACCAGTGAAAATATAAACACTTTTATTACAAACGCAATGGAAACTGTTAACGCATTATCAAAAAAGCTAATATTCATATTTTATCGTGAAAATGAATGCAGATTTGTATCAATATTAATATTTTTTGAATTTTAAAAGTACCAATCAATAGTGCTCGGAAGCTCCACTGTCTCCAGCTTTTAAGATTTATTTAAATATTTCAATAAAAAACAACAAAAATCAATCATTTATAAAATCCCATCAAAACATACCGTGTTCAAAAATTGACAAGCCTCGCAATGCAGTTCTTCTGCCCTAAAAAGTTGTGAAAAAAATGTAAGCTAAGTCGATAACCACTTCGTCATAAATTGATATCTTGTTAGTTAACTAACACTATTTTATAGTAACCACCATTAACCGTGGGAGATCCATGCACGAATTGGCCGGCTCAACCGGAGTGATACCACGGCCTCACAGAAAGCCAGTGTTAATCAATTCTTTCCTCCTTTCACTGAGTGAGTGCGGTTACCGGGGCCCAAATCCCTCCGCTAAATCGAGGGGAGGGACTCCAAGAGCGGCAACGCACTTGTGACTTTTGAGTGGCAGATGTCCATGGGCGGCGGTAGTTCTGCTCTAATCTGCTCGTTTGCCCCCGTATACAAAAAAAAAAGCACAGCCTTAAACAGTCCACATGGGCCTTTCCTTACAAAAGGCTTTGGCCTACTAGACAACGCGGGCCAGACGGATTGGCATAGGGTTTGTGTCAAGTTTTCCTTCTCTTTGCAGAGCTATTGTCCTACATAGTTTGCTCCCTTAGTCGGCTTTTACGACACCCACGAGATGCTATTCATCATCTCGTATTAAACGCCCACCTTTTATAGACTATAATTTTAGTCTCATTTAAGTAACAAGGTTCAGGCCTTTGCTTGCATTGCCTTTGCTTGGCTTTGCATATATTTCTAAATAAAAATACTTTTACATTTCTAAAGACATAGATAATACGAGTATGTATATACAATAATCTATATTTTATATAAAAATGTTACGTTGGCTTGTGTGCGCTTCAGAAAATCAAAAAGTTTTAAGCACCGATTGAGCGCTAATTTTGACAAGGTAGGTATAAAACAACCTCCTTTCTAAGGATATGCCTATATCCAGTAGTGGACTATTAAAGGTTGTTGATAAGGTATAAATCTAGCTTTAAAGATGGTTTTTACCGTTTTTCACATCAGTTAGTTCCTCAGTCTCACATTAGTTCCTCATTCCTTGCTACCACAATGTGCCTCAGCGAAGCATGGTAGGGTACAGCTAGTAATAGATAGGTAAATTTTACACAATATTTGTCCTGAATACAAATTGAGCCCACGACCTCTGTTATTCAGGATAGCTTATCTTTAACAAGGGTATATGAACTTATAAAGATTGCAGGTCGACGGTGACTGTTGACCGTTTCCAATAGATTTTTGGGAGTCTTTTAGTCACGTGCCCGTTCCATCAATAGGGTATCTTTAGCCTTTAATTTAAAATCAGATCTGTGGTCACTTTCAGAGACTATGGCTTGGCCTTTTAGCCACACAATTAGTTAGTTTCCTGAATGTTGTTTTCTCGTGATTGTTTGTTTTATTATTTCTTCAAATTAGTTAGTTTTTTTCTTTTATGTTATATCTTTGATTTAGACGACCTGATGGCGTAGTGGTTTGTGTAAAGGACTGCTATTACAAAGGTCGCGAGTTCGATTCCCGCTCAAGTCAAACATTTGTCTGCATGAACATTTAATGTTTAAACATTTAATATGTATGTTTTTACAAAAAAAAAGTAAATATGTATTTATACCAGTTGTCTAGTACCCATAGTACAAGCTCTGCTTAGTTAGGGACTAGATGGCGTTGTGTGAATGTGGTAGAGTAATATTTGATGTTTTTTGTGTTGTAGCCAACAAATGTATTCCTTTCTTTCTTTCCATACCCAAAATGATTGGAGATCCTATAGCTGACTAGAGATTTGTCAAGAAAAATATTGACGTGGTCTTTCTGATCGCAACGTAGTACTTAGCGGTACATGATCTTGGCTCTCGTAAAATATCTGCATAGTGTTGTAATCGTCCGTATTGCGCCAGTTGACGGACAATCGTGGGTGGAAGTCGTCTTTATCCTCCCTTCCTGTTCGCATATGTTGAGTAGCGGATAAATGCAATTTGTGAATAACAATCATGGCCTCTGCATCACAAAATGTGACCTTAACTTTAGTAGACGACTGCACGGATGGCGGAGTGGTTTAAGCGGTCGCCACGCCGCTTCCTATTACGCCGAGTATTGTGGGTTCAAACCCCACATGGGACGACACTTTGTGTGATCCACAAATTGTTGTTCTGGGTCTGGGTGTTCTTTGTGTCCGTTTCATGTATGTTTGTAAAGTCCCCCGCGCCACAGGATGTATATATTCCTAATGCGGGACTTGTCTTTTTTAACAAAAGAAAGAAGATGGACATTTTTATTTATTTAGGGGTTAAAGTATGAAATTGCCGATTTGTACTGAAAATTTAAAACTCGTTTTTTCTGAGATGTAACGTTGTAACATTTATTTAATCAAAATATTTACCCTAATCATCTATACATTATCTAAACGGCAGTTCATTTATGCCTTTACGATAGAACACTGGGGATCTAGATCCGACAAACTGTGTGAAAGAATTTTGTACTGCCTCCTGGGAAGAATTATTTTTTCCAAATCAGGAAAAAAAGGTATTCACGAAAAAAAAATAGGGTAAAGTTAAACCATGCCGCTAATTCCTGGGTAGTTTGACTCGAATCGGCTTCCATCGTCTCCTTCAATTCAGCCTTATTCACCTGTGTGGGCGGTCACCTCTCTACGGTTCGTTCTTCAAGTCCAAGTATCCATTACGATAGCGTTTAAACCAAAAACGCACGGTGCGTTCATTAGCAGTCTCCTCTCCAAACGCAGCGTTGATATTGCGAGCCGTTTTTGCCGCGTCAGTTCCGCGTCGGTACTCATATTCAAAAATGACTCAGATTATCGAAGTATTCATCTTTAACGTCTAAGCTGAATAAAAAAAACAATTGATAGTCGAAAATCGAATTTTGCACATTTTTTTAAAAGAAAAACCTCATAGGTATCATGTGTCGACTAATTTTGGATCGACCGGGGATCTTTAGTAAGGTGTAGAGACCGCGTTGGTCCTGAGAGGTCTCCACCTTAAGAACTCTGTAATCCATACTGTATTACTGTAGCTTGAGATGTGTAAGAGAGATTCATCACAGCATCACAACAAAGAAACACATGTTGCGACCATCGGACAACCAACCCGGGCAATAAATTATCGTCTGTTGTATTTTTGAACCGATACCATGGTGTTCACGGGCGGTGATAGTCACTTTCCATCACGCGAACCGTTTCCTCGTTTATCCCAACAACAGAAACAATCTGCAGAAAACATAATGGTCTGGAATATGACATTGAAGTCACAAGAAAGCGCCGTGCACGCAAGGTCTGCCAAGCCCAAAGTTCTAGAAGTGCCTTAGCTGCGCGCAGCTTCAATGTCGTAAGCTGCCACTTATATAATGTAGCTAATGAATACTGTGACATCTATCCATTAACTAGATCGCAATGCAAGAAACGAGTTACCATATGGCTCTTGTCCAAATCTTATGAAGATACAGAAAATTTGATTAAACTAAGTATACTATAATTCTAATGCATCCCTCACGCACACATACGCACACACACACACACATACAAAGACACACACACACATACACACACACACACACATACACACACACACATACATACACTTTGTAACATAATATACTCGTATATAAACATATAATAATGCGATATATATTATTATAATATTAATATCTATTTCTATAGGTTATTCCTACCTTAAGGCTTAAGCAATACACCTCATGCGTATGCAACTACGATACATTACACTTTAACATTAACTACCTGTTGCAATTAAGTACGAGAGCCCTGGTACCCATACCACAAGTTAAATCTTACTTTGGGTACCAGAGGTCAACAAAACTATTGTACATGTTGAATTGTTATAACTTATGTGTGTTTTTACTGTATGTATCTTTTTGAGACAATAAATTATATTATTATTATTATTATTATTATCCCAGATATCATACAAAAAGTCTTGACCATCCATGGCTCGCCAAAACTCAATTTGATAAGACTTCCGAATTAGCGAGAGTAAAACACTTCATATATGGTATCATGCCAATTTTAACAGACTATGATTGAGAATTAGTCTTGTCTGGCAACTGCACTCTAAACTAAGTTTCAAAGTCGAGTTTGAAACACTACCAAAACACACAAATATACACATGCCACACACAGATCTGCATCACCCAAAAGTTGACTGGAAGAAAATGCCCACGGAATTAAGTCCGCTTTTGCAAAATTATGCAGCAAGTGTAATAAAAAAAACTATTTAATACAGTAATTTTGGTGAGGACCAGACACGCACAAATAGTGCCTGATAAAATTAACTCCGCAATACACATCGTGACGGAAATCCAGACTTCGGCTGCCCCAGTTTCGGGGGGCGCCAAAATCATAATATAATACGATTATCAAAATCATAATATATACATATTCTTAATCCGTCACCACACGGATTCTTCCACTTTAACATGCCTACTATATTCACACACCTACTATATTTAAGGTGTCCTTTTAGCTATATCAATAAAAAAACAAGCTAGTCTTACACAGGTCTCATATAAAGCGTTACATTTGCCAACTCACTATACTGCCCGTGTCCGGTATTTTCACCTTTTTACAAAATCACTGCGACAAATTGTACGAATGCGAAAGGAAAGTTTTATGTATTTCTGTTAACTGGTAGATAATGCCTTGAGGCAATAAGTCCACCTCGATCAAGTTGTAATGCAGGGAGCGTAAAAATAAATGAATAAATAAATATCGGAGCCTTAAATCTCCTCTCTCCCTTATTCAGGTGGGGGGATTTAAAGAGGCGCCGCGCACTTGTGAATCTTAAGTTGCAGGTGTCCATGGGCGTAGGTAGTCACTTACCATCAGGTCGTTTGCTCGTTTGCCCGCTATGTATTTAAAAATGAAATCGCGATTAAGGATTACAGCAGTTACTCCGTAGCTCGCTGTGGCTTCGTTAGATGGCGCTGTAGTTTGTTTCTTTGTTTCACTGTATGTGGAAGTTACTATTACGAGTATTACAATGATACCCCATATAAAAAATCTGTTAGGTATTGAGAAGTCAAGGTGCAATTATGAAACACATATAATACATTCAAGAAACCTTGAAACCTTCAAACCCAATTTCCCTCATAATAATACAATCAAAACTTGTGGACGTTCTATCTGCTTTTATTACAACGTTTGCCAAGTGGGTTAGAGACAAACATAAAACAATATCTCAGAAAACACAACGGTATCAATGTGTGGAACATTTTACAGAATACAGTTAATGCCACGTCTAACTACATACTTTCGGTTCTGTGTTTAGTACTCCATTTATAATTTTATGATAAAATTTATGAAGCCTAAATAAACACTGAATGTTTTGTTCGCGCAAATATTGTAAAATGGTATGGTATAGGAGCTAGCAACGTTTTCGAGAAAGAATTTTAGGACAGCTGATTTTGTGATATGTCGTCCTTCATGCACTTTCGGTTAGAATCTGGGCTATCTGGCTGGCGGTAGCGGTTGCGTTCATTAGTGCGCATCCTACCTGTCCAGGTAATAATCCTGTATTTTAAAAACATTTTAGAAGGCGTAATTTTTAATTTTTTGTTTTTAAATAAGTCTACCTGACATACTTTTTTTATTGCCAGACATTTTTGACAATGCTAACTATGTGCCATACGCGATTTTTGTTATTTTTTTTTATAAAATTTCAAAGTATTTTATAATGTCTGTAATTTTAATATTATGTTATTTAAAGATAAGAAAAACTTAAAATAAATTTGCCAGACATTAATTCGATTGTTAAGTCTTGAATTAAAATTAAAAAGTCATGAAAAGTATTGCAGTATGATGCTAGTAGTAACAAACATTTATTTTAAGTTTTTCTTAGTCGTTCGTGACGAAAATTTGGAGAAATGCTCACTCAAAACATCCAACATCTTTATCTCCAATGGCTTTCGGTTGGACCATTAACGGTGACAAATATGATTTTGTCTGGTTTTTGGGAGATCAATTACCATCCTCAGTTGCAGATATTATTGTTCAAAGTAAGTGTGAAATGGAATATTTATCAATAATAACTAAAATCTTTTATAACGAACTAAAAGAATTACACTGTTTATTTTTTTTCTGTTGCAGATGATAGAGTTGTAGAAGATAACGAAAGTTCCCAAGAAGATGATATGAATGACACTGACAAAGACAGCGACGATGATGATAACATAATAATAATAATATAGTATAATAATATATTCTACCACATTCACACAATGCCATCTAGTCCCAAACTAAGCAGAGCTTGTACTATGGGTACTAGACAACTGATATAAATACATATATACTTTTTTTTTTGTAAATACATACATATTATACATAGAAACACCCAGACCAAATCAAACATCAAATGTTCATGCACACAAATGTTTGACTTGAGCGGGAATCGAACCCGCGACCTTTGGAACAGCAGTCCGTCACACAAATCACTACGCCATCCAGTCGTCGCCAACCATCATGGTGATGATTATGAAGATGCCTCTTTTTTTTGTGACGTCAATATAGGCTGAAACAACTTGAAAAACCTAATATTAATTATTTATAATTTACATTTAGTAATCAGAACAATTTAAATAAAAAGTGTTGTTTTTTAAATTTTAATCTAATTTTATATTCCTTTTTATGCTTAATTTTTTTTTTAAACTTGCTCTGACTAGAATGATGATTATTATTATTCTTATTATTATTATATTTTTTTTTTATTATATGCACAGTGAAAAGTAATTTACTTTCGTAATGGTCTCATTCTCGACTTATTCTGCAACTATCTCTCTCGGATGCTAGTGCATCATACTATTTAATTCAAGACTTAACAATCGAATTAATGTCTGGCAAATTTATTTTAAGTTTTTCTTATCTTTAAATAACATAATATTAAAATTACAGACATTATAAAATACTTTGAAATTTTATAAAAAAAAATAACAAAAATCGCGTATGGCACATAGTTAGCATTGTCAAAAATGTCTGGCAATAAAAAAAGTATGTCAGGTAGACAGGACTTATTTAAAAACAAAAAATTAAAAATTACGCCTTCTAAAATGTTTTTAAAATACAGGATTATTACCTGGACAGGTAGGATGCGCACTAATGAACGCAACCGCTACCGCCAGCCAGATAGCCCAGATTCTAACCGAAAGTGCATGAAGGACGACATATCACAAAATCAGCTGTCCTAAAATTCTTACTTTCCAAACGTTGCTAGCTCCCGTACTAGGTAACTCACTTTGTGTTTCTCGTGAATCTGTGACTTATCGGGTTTTGTTGCACTAATTAATTAGCTTATTACACTTAGCTTATTAAAGTGCGATTCCCTCTTTTGATGTAAAAAACTTACTATTCGTTAAGGAATTGGACATCAATAACATTTATATATATTTTTTAATGTTTTAATAAACACAGAAAGCACAAGTACACGCCGAAAAGAAAAACAAATTATAAAATCATGTCGTATTTGGCCGCACCAAAAGCCTTAGTTCCAAAGTACAAAAACCGTGAAACGGAACGGAACGATGTCGTTGTCACGAATGTCACAGAAAAATTTGCTTTGTAACTTTATTTTTGTGGCGAAATTTAGAACTTTAAGTTCACAGTAGTCTAGATTATAATATATTTGATAACTATCTCCACTACAAAGACTGTAATAAATAGGTACATAGGTATACAAGTATCAACAAGGTTTTCTGTATTGTTGTGATATATTAAAACTTAAGTTACGTAAAGTGCTGCGAAATAGCTAAATAAAATGTAAAGTATTCTTTTAATCCTTATTGTAATAGTAATTTACAGTTTAACAGCAAAAATTAGAGACAATAAAAACAGCTGATACACTGAGTGCAACTTTATCCATTGACAAATAGTGTCAAGGGTTGCCAGTAACTGAAATTGTTACCTACTAACTTATTGGTAGAAAAATAATTGATGTTATTTTTACAGCCCTTGTGGTGAAGTCTGAAGAGGAAGTAATGAGGAATTTAACTACTGTTACCTGGGCTCATGCCGTTAATAACAAAACGTATTTGGACGCGGCTCTCGCAAGTAAGTATTATGCGCATCTCTATTTCTGATATTAATTGGTTTATACACTTATTGTAAACGTATGTGGTGTGTATTTACGACTTATTTATATACAAGTTATAAGAACTTATATATTACAGTATTTGTTGCCATTCTTATCAGGCAGCCCAGTGCTAGTTTATTTTACATCAACTCGATCGGCACGGTGACCGCGTTTGGCGTTGCTGATGAAGAGTTCAGTGAGAACCAATCGCAACTTCGAATGCGATGACCGTGAAGAACTCGCACTGGGCTTTCTTTTTTTCTAACAGCTACATAACTGTATAACTTTATCGAATGGTTTTAAAACAGAATTGTAAGTAGAGTTTCAAACAAGCATCAATTTAAATAAGGCAAATTAAATTTAATAACATTGTGAGGTACCTAAACAAAAGCTTCGTCTATATTATATTAGTGTATATGATATACTGCTTTTACAGCACTAAACTACTGCTGTAATGGCAGTTCATTCACAGAACAAGAATACTTATAACTTACAGAAGGAGAAGAACTTTCTCTTCCCCTAAAAATAACACACAACTTTTTAGGACATCAGGTTAGGGAAACAGGCTATTTTTGTTTCTGTCCCTGAAGTGCTACTGTTTGTATTAATTACTACTAAGGATTACAGTTCATAGAAGTAGTTGAGTATCTCAAGCCAATTCAATCACTTCTGTACAGAAGTACCAATTTACCAATCCATACTGAAGTATATTTTCGACCTGACGAGGAGGAAAAAAAGTAACTCAAAAAGGAAAAGACAATACATTAGGTTTGGGCACGCTGTTATTGCTGCGGTAAGACCCGTTATAGAGGTTTGGCTCGAGAGGAAACACAAGACCCTCTCGTATCGGCTGACGCAAGTGATCACCGAGATAGAATGCTTCGGAGATTATCTGTGTCTGATCTGCCAACACCTGAAGACCATTACCAGGCACATGCAGCGCGCGTGCCTTTTAGGCACAGGATCGGAACACCGTAGTGCCATTCGAGGGGGCAATCTGATAGCCGTAGATGGCGCAGGGTAACGCCTGGTTTCCCACCTACTGGTACCCGAGACGGCATGCGGTTTTAGTAGAAGATTTAAGCACGAAAAAAGAGGGGTCCCACCAAATAACTAATTTTTTTTTTTTAATATAAAAACAAAAATTCGTTAATAACTTCTCCATTAAGAGTTGGCATCTAAAGGGGTAGGTAATTATAATTGACTAATTGTTCAGATGTAACTTCAAATCATAAAGTATTAATTGCTGTATTTACATATATATTGTAAATGTATGTAATAATCCGCGAAGTTAACACCAATTAAACTTATTACGAGAATATTGCCATCAAACAACATTCCTACCAAGAATTCTACCAGCTGCGCCGCCTATCAATCAACAATGTTTTCCTTCTCTTTCTAACGTATTAGTTGGTAGAGATAAGCTAGTCACTGTTAGTGCAAGAATAATGTGATTTAATTGTGTGTGGTAACACTAAGAGCAATACGTTGTGGCCTAAGTGATAGGAGAAAAGTTTTTTCATATTATTATTCATAATATTGCTTTGACAGTATGCAATAGTTTTACCAACAAAAATTACCTTTAATGGATATGATTTGTATTATAAGGCAAGTTAGTATTATTTTAGGTTCAAGTCTGACATGCCACGTAACCGTCCGCTCTGAAGGTCAATTGTCATAATAAAAATTGGTTCAAAATTCAGTTCCAATCTACTGTCGATCTCAAATTTTTAAAGGTAATTTAAAATTACTAGGACTAGTAGAATATAGAATACAATATGCCATGAGTTTGTTTGCTCTTTCTTCTCACAGTTTTGTATTGGTTTGATTTTTGTTGAATTTATTTGCTTACTATTTGACAAAACAGAGATTGTTGCTTTTGTGTGTGTTGATCTATGACTTTAGTCACATTAAAAGACGATTTCAAACAATTTTAAAAATTTAATAAAGTAAAGAGTGTTTGAGTTTGAGTTTTAATAGTCTGCTCTGGATATATGGGGCAGGGGGGGGGGGGGGGGGTACCCTGGATATAGGAAAATCGGGGCACCGGGGAGCCAAAATCATAATATAATAAGGTTTAAAATAAAATAAAAAATTGTTATGGCCTAATGAATTTTATATTTGTGACTTCTTTAAGTTACTTATCTCAAACGCTGGAGAGGGGGGGCCCTGTTATTGGGTTTCTGCCCCGGTTCGAAAAAATCATAGATCCGTCGTTCAGAATAGTTAAAAAAAATCCAACGCCACGGTTTACAACTAACACCAAACACCAACTAAAATGGCCGTCTCCTGTTTCATGCACATTGCTAGTTCAAGGAACCAACGATAAATGACAATTATACATTTGACAGATTTGGGCTCATACATACAGCGGCTTGTTATAAATGGTTTCAACCGATTCAATTGCTTTCTTCGTCAAACAATATACTTGTAGAGTTCTTATTAAATTGTTTGTTTGGAAAACAAAACCAGTTCTAAAGTATTTACTTAATATTGGCACTTGGAATTTCGAAACAGCTTTAAATGCTACAAGCTAATTAGCCAAACGTAAATAATATTTTATTTGTATAGGGATAGAGTTGACTTTTGGTTGTCTACTATAAGTGTTGCCAGAAATACATATAAAATGTTACATTGTAACATCTGATTTTGAATGAGAATAACTTAAACCTATATATATACACTCACGCTAGTTTACCTAAAGGCATAGGCAGAGTCGTATTTTTGCCAAATAAACAGGCCTGACCCACGAAATAGGAGATAAGCCTTTTACAGTCAATCAAGCAGTAAATAAACTTATGTCATGACATATTATGTAGAATAGGCCGAATGTTAAATATAATAAATTAAGAAACGATTTTGAAAATACACTTTTTTATGGTGTAACTAGCTGAACCGGCAAACGTTGTATTGCAAAACAAAAAAAATTTTGGGATGGGTCACCCTTACCATTTAGGGGTATGAAAAATAGATGTTGGCCGATTCTCAGACCTACCCGATGTGCACACAAAATTTCATGAGAATCGGTCAAGCCGTTTCGGAGGAGTACGGGAACGAACATTGTGACACGAGAATTTTATATATAAGATAAGAGGGCAACGGAGCACGGCCCTAATTCCGCTATTTAATACTAGCTGACCCGCGCAACTTCGTCTGCGTCTCTCAATAGTAATATTTTTTTTCCGTTTTTAAACATTCTTCATTGGTGCTCCGCTCTTATTGGTCTTAGCGTGATGATATATAGCCTATAGCCTTCCTCGATAAATGGGCTATCTAACACTGAAAGAATTTTTTAAATCGGACCAGTAGTTCCTGAGATTAGCGCGTTCAAACAAACAAACAAACTCTTTAGCTTTATAATATTAGTATAGATTGTATCAATAGACTGTCGATGGACTGTCGTCGGAATAGTTTTGAAGTTTACGTATTCTACTAACTATATAAGACCAATGGCGATAGTTTGTCACTAACCTGCTCTAATACAAATATCGTCGATATCTTTGTAATAGTTTGGTAAACGTTATATTTTAAATTTGTAAGGAAATGATAATATTTAATTTGCCAGATACGGCAATGTTGTTGATATCGCCATTGATTACCCATTGTCACTTCATCGACAATCTATTGACATTGTGAATTTAAATTAGCAGAATATCGATATTTTGACAGATGTCCATGGCATCTTAAAAGCGTGTCAATGGTAAGAAAGTGGCTTGTACGTTAACACAAAATAGCAGAATTGAAGCCCGGATGGGTCACCTGATGGTAAAATACTCCCATCGCTCATGGAGACCTGCATTTCAAGAGTCACAAGTCACAAGTACTTTGCCGGCCTTTGAATCCTTCCCCCTAGATTCAGGATAAAGGAGGGGTACGGGGTTAGGGGGTTTGTTCTCCTGTAACTTTACTCATTCAGTGAAAAGAAATGAAAGAATTGATTTACTTCGGTTTTCTGTTAGGCAGTTGTAACACTCCGGTCGGGCCTACCAATTAGTGCTGATACGACCTTCAAACCTTCAAGAAAAGAGCGTACTCCTTTCTTAAAGGCTGGCACTGTGACTCCTGAGTTGCAGGCGTTCATGGGCGGCGGTAGTCGCTTTCCATCAGGTGACCCGTCTGCTCGTTTGCTGATTTTTTTTATGGAATACCATAAAAAAAATCGTGACACTGTTGCCGATACCGAGATGACAAAGGTTAACGTGGTGATCCCCAAACGTGTTTCTTTTCAGGTGACATCTGCATGTTGGAGGCTGATATAGTCCTGGGAACTATCATCGGCAAAGAGGGTCCACCGATTCCTGTTATGGCTCACCCTCCAGCCACCAGCTCGGATCTTTCCCTCGCCGATTTCCTGTCGACCGTAGCAAAGTACAACAACGTGAACTCTAAACAGAAAGGAGTCAAGTTGGACTTTAAGACTATTGAGGCTTATGAGAAGAGTCAGGAGTTGATTGCTCAATATAGCAAGCCTCAGGTAAGGTTCTTTTAAATGGGTGTAAGACTACTGTTTGTCATTTTTTCAAGAGAGTATAGGAGGAAAATAGTGGAAGATTAATCTCTTTTCCCCGTCTTTAACTCCTAAACTATTGAACCCTCAACTAAAAAAGAAACGAAAAAATGAATAATCCGTATTTGCATAAGATTTGTGATATCTGCCTGACTGCCTCGGTGGTCTAGTGGTACTGTTTGCGACTGCAATGCTGAGGTCTCAAGTTCGATGCCTGTATGATCTGCAAATATTTGTTTCGGAGTTACTTTAGGTTTTAGAATGGGAACACCGTGATTCCCACACACGAGGGGGTCATCTACAGGTCGTAGATGGCCCGGGGTCCGTCGGGGTCCAAGGATTTCCTTCCTTGAGGGATACACCTGGTTCCGGTTACAGGTACTCCATACGGCGTGTGGTTTTTGGCCGGTTCATGTCCGACATAACCACCGGTGGGTGGTATCCGAGGGGATTTAGACACAGACAAAAAAGGGGTGAAATTTCCAAAAACCCTTTCTTAGTCTTACAACATAAAAAACATATGTTGCCAATATTTCAAGTTTGTAGCCCCCCCAATTTAGGCTCTGGGTGGATGAATCAGTCATGGCAAGTAATTTTTGATGTATAAATAAACTTTGCTGGCTGGACCACCAACAGCGTCATCAGGATCATTTTTTTTTTTTTATTAAAAAAGACAACTCCCGCATTAGGAATAAATCCTGTGTCGCGGAGGACTTTACAAACATACATGAAACGGACACAAAAAACACCCAGACTCAGAACAACAATTTGTGGATCACACAAAATGTCGTCCCATGTGGGGTTTGAACCCACAACACTCGGCGTAGTAAGAAGCGGCGTGGCGACCGCTTAAACCACTACGCCATCCGTGCAGTCGTGCATTACTAGGCTGCTTCCTCGTAAGGCATGATCAGGGTTTATGACCAACTGTGAGTTAATAACAGAGATTATTTCAAATTCCACAGCTTCTAAGTACGGCATAAGTTGTTATAAAGATGGGATTGCTGCAAAGCAATATTTAATTATGATTTAACAATTGCTTTGAACTCTTTGAAGACTTTGTGTTTGGTGTGACGTGTGCCACCACCGATTTGCTCAGGAACGGGTTGACCTAGGAATTTATACCAGATACTAAGGTTTGTGTTCTCTATTAGGTGTATAAAAATTAAGGTCCTGAGTCAACACGATAAAAAGAAATGGGTAAATTTCGATTTTTGCGAAAACTTCAAAATACTGACCCTAGTTCAAAACCCTAGTACTGACTACTCCATCTAGACATAACTGAAATAATTAAAATACTCGTTCTACTCCGTGTGGTGACATAAGAGCGAGCAACTACGCAGACCAACAGCACTTCACACTTGACACAAACCCTTTTTTTCTTTTTTCTTTACGTGTGGAAATCCCCTCGGTCCGTCACCCCTCCGGGGTTTGCGGCGGGGTGGTGTGTCGGACTCGGACCGACTAAAACCACACGGTGTGCCACTCTGCGCCTGTAATAGGAGGGATAAGGGAACAGCTGTTATTAAGACATCCGGACCCCTCCTAGCGCCTGCCCGCTCCTGTTGCGGGCTCCGTCTCAAAATTTTAACCTCTCTTTAGGCGACGTCCGGCACACGCGGACGCCGCCCCCTCGCGGCTGGCCAAACTAATGCGGGTGGAGGGGAAACACACCCCGTCCACCCGCGGCCACACTCAGGGACATTTGACACAAATCCTATACCAACTCATCTGGCCAGCGTGGTATAGTAGGCCAAAACCTCCTTTCTAAGGAGACTCCTATGTCCAGCTGTGTGTGTGTGACTATTAAAGGCTGATAATGATGACAATGAATATACTCTTATAGGAGTCCTATTCAGTAGGAGTGGGAGAGACATGTTCCAGCACAAATGAGTCGGCTAGAAGGGAGTGATACTAAGGCCTCATAGAAAATAGGTGTTCATGGGGGGTTGTCACTTACCACCTGGTGACCCCTCCTGATTCTCGGAGGGGATTCGAAGGGTGGCAATGCACTTGTGACTCTTGAGTTGCAGGTGTCCATGAGCGATGGTAGTCACTTACCACCAGGTGACCCCCCTGATCATCGGAGGGAACTTAAAGGGCAGCAACGCACTTGTCACTCTCGAGTTGCAGGTGTCCATGGGCGGCGGTTGTCGCTTACCAATAGGTGACCAATCTGCTCTTTTGCCACCCTATACCATAAAACATCGAATACTTAGATTTTACATTCAATTGAGTCATCATTTAAAATAAGTTGGCGTTTCAAATGTCCCATGGTGATCTACAATAACAGCAATGCTATCGATTAATAATAAACCTTAACGTCATAGAAATAAATATTATTTTGCATTAATTACTGTAAAGCTCGAACTTTAACTAGTTAAGGGATATTAGACCTTATTTTATGTGTTGTATGTAAGGTATTCGTTTGTACTGTTATTTGTAGACGTCTTAATTATAATAATGACATAGCGTGTGAATAATCGAAAATTTAAAACAGCATCTTGTGTGGTCGGTTCGTGTGAGGTTGGGGCCATAAAAACAGCGGGGAGTAGAAATAATAGTGCTTACTAAAATATGTCAAAAGGACTTTAAAAGGAATGTAATCGGATTTTCTTTAAGAATAATGTAATTCTTAAGCCATCTAAGCTAACACTATATAGTTATAGTGTTATAGAAGACAATACAAAACATACATGAAACGAACAGACACCAAGACTCAGAACAACAATTTGTGGATTACACATAGTGCTGTCCCGTGTTGAGTTCAAATCCATAACACTCAGCGCAGTAGGAAACAACCAGGTGACCGCTTAACCTCCCGGCGGACTCACCGTCCGCCTACCGGCCCATAGTGTTGCTTGACGAGGTGTGCAAGCTCTTTGAAAGAGTGATTGCAAGGCGCCTCGTCAAGCATCTCGTGATGGTTGGGCCGGATCTGGCGTACAACCAGTACGGTTTCCGTCAGGGGCGCTCCACCGTGGATGCGATCATGCGCGTGAAGGCTCTGGCGGAGGAAGCAGTCTCCCGGGGCGAAGTGGTGTTGGCGGTGTCCTTGGACATCGCCAACGCGTTCAACACTATGCCCTGGAGCTGCATCAGGGAGGCGCTCGTGTATCACGAAGTGCCTCTCTACCTCCGCCGCATAGTCGGGGCATATTTGTCGGAGAGAGCCGTCGTCTACGCCAGTAGGACCGGTCTCGGTAGGCGTGAAATGTCGTTCGGTGTTCCGCAGGAGTCGGTGTTAGGGCCACTCTTGTGGAACATCGGCTACGACTGGGTGCTTCGTGGTGCCCTTCTTGGATGGTGTCGCCGTCGTGTGCTACGCGGACGACACACTCGTGACGGCGCGCGGCAGGACGCACCACGAGGCAACCCTGAGGGCCACGGCCGGGGTTGCCCAAGTCGTTGAGCGTATCCGGCGGCTGGGTCTCGAGGTGGCTCTGCACAAGTCCGAGGCCCTGTTCTTCCATGGGCTTCGGAGGAAGCCGCCTGAGGGATCTAGCCTCACGGTAGGAGGCACTCGCATCGGCATCGAGCCCTCGCTCAGGTATCTGGGGCTCGTACTCGATGGCCGATGGGACTTCGGATATCATTTCCGAGGTCTGGTCCCTAAGTTGGTTGGGGCAGCGCGTGCGTTGGCGCGGCTGCTGCCCAACATGAAGGGACCCGATGACTCCTGCAGGAGACTCTACTCGGGGGTTGTGCGGTCCATGGCCCTTTACGGGTGCCCGGTATGGGCGGGGGGCCCTGAAGGCCAGCAACGTCGCGATACTGCGACGACCGCAGCGAATGCTGGCCATCAGGATCATAAGGGGGTACCGCACGATCTCCTTTGAGGCAGCGAGTCTCCTGGCCGGAACTCCACCGTGGGACCTGGAGGCGAGAGCCCTTGCGGCACTGTATCAGTGGCGCAAGGCGGAGGGAACGACTCGGGCAACCGAGCGCTGGGCACGCCGTCATTGTGGCGGTAAGACCCGTTATGGAGGATTGGCTCGAGAGGCGTCACGGGACCCTCTCATACCGATTGACGCAGGTGATCACTGGGAAGGGGATGTTTCGGAGATCACCTGTGTCTGATCCGCAAGGAGCCAACGCCTGAGTGCCACCACTGCGATGGCCAGGACCGTGGACACGGCTCTCCACACGCTGGCTAGAGTGCCCGGCGTGGGTTTGAGCAGAGGCGAGACCTCGTGGCGGCCATCGGAGTGGGAGTTCTCTCGCTCGATAGCCTGATTGCGGCTATCGTGCGGAGCGAAGAGTGCGTGGAACTCTGCCGTCTCCTTCTGCGAGCAAGTTTATGCTCGCGAAGGGAGACGGCGGAGCGGACCGGGAGAGGTTTAGAACTCTCCCGGCCCGCCAGGCCCGGGCACGGGCCAGGCAGCCGCAGGCGACTCAGGCGCCGGAGGTCGCAGAACGGGACCTCCGTCCTCCATAAGCGCAGGCCTGGGGGTGACAGGTGAGGCCATCTGTCACCCTAGCAGAAGCAGGCCGGGGTGGCGGCGAGCGCGTTGCGAAGCGCGCTCGCTTCCAGGGAGCACAGGGAACATGGGGTTCCCACACGGGGCGGGGGTCGTCTACTCGTCTGTAGATGACCCGAGGTATGTCGGGGCACCAGGGCCTTCCTTTCTAAGGTATACCTGGTTCCCCGGCTATTAGTACCCGGCGAAGGCGTGCGGTTTTAGTCGGTTCGAGTCCGACATGCCACCGACAGGTGGTATCCGAGGGGATTTCCGCACGGAAAAAAATAAAAAATAAAAAAAAAGGTGACCGCTTAAACCACTACGCCATTCGTATCGGTCCGGAAGTACCGTTGCCGATAACTTGTTCCACAGGTTGGTAGTGCGAGGCAAAAAAGTCTCGAAAAGAGCACAGTGGTGGAGTGCCAATTATCCAAGTGGTGGGGATGAACATTTTGCCGTGTAGAACGGAAAATTGCGGCCGGTATTAGTCCAAATAATTCCTCGGAGCACTCTCCATGATATATACGATAGAGAATGCAGAGCGAAGCGTGATTATGTTTATTGCTGACTTTATAGCCCCGTCAGGATAACAAAGATGAGCCGCGGTGCATGTGTCTCTAGGGTGACGCACATTTGTTGATTAAGGGTTTGATGAAAAAATGACGAAATGCTCATACGATTTAAGAACATGTGGATTTTAAGATAGCCTTCTCACAAAATGCCTTCGCGGATGACGTAGTGGTTACAACGGTCCCCTCGCTGAGTGTTGTGGGTTCGACCCCCACGTGGGACCACCTTTTTTTGTATTTGAAGTAGATGCTGCAGAAAAGAGTTAAAAATACATTGTTATTGACTTTAGATTTTTCGATGAAAACTAACTGGCCTGTTAGGGTAGTGGTTACTGAACCTGTCTGCTAAGCCGTAGGTTGTGGGTTCGATTCCCGCCCAGGACAAATAAATCTGTGACGGGCATGAGTATTTTTCTGCGTCTGAGTGTATTTTTTTATAATATGTATGTATTTAGAAATATTCAAGTAAGCATATTAGCAGTCTGGTGGCCATAGTACAGGGTCTGCCTAGTTTGGGATCAGACAGCCGTTTGTAAGAAGTGTGAGGTATAACTATTAGTAATGAAGGTGTATTAACGCTACTAATAGTTTACTTTAATACGTTATACTTTTAAATTGCCTGACTTTTTGATCAAGACCAATTCTCGTAATAAAAGTTCGTTCACAATTCAGTCTCGATCAACTCTCGACTGACACTCGACTCGACTGTCTCACAACTGACATAAAAGGTGTTGTCGTAGTAGAATATTAAATGATTACTAATACATATGTACTAGCAGAATACCGATTCCATTTTCAGTTACAATACGATATAATCACGTTACAGTCAACGTTGGTTGTTGAACTCAAAAGTGTTTTCGTAGTAAAATATTAAAGGATTACTAAGACTAGCAGAATACCGATTCCATTTTCAGTTACAACACGATATAATCACATTACAGTCAACGTTGGTTGTTGAACTCAAAAGTGTTTTCGTAGTAAAATACTAAAGTATTACTAAGACTAGCGGAATACCGATTCCATTTTCAGTTACAATACGATATAATCACATTACAGTCAACGTTGGTTGTTGAACTCAAAAGTGTTTTCGTAGTAAAATACTAAAGTATTACTAAGACTAGCAGAATACCGATTCCATATTCAGTTACAATACGATATAATCACATTACAGTCAACGTTGGTTGTTGAACTCAAAAGTGTTTTCGTAGTAAAATACTAAAGTATTACTAAGACTAGCGGAATACCGATTCCATTTTCAGTTACAATACGATATAATCACATTACAGTCAACGTTGGTTGTTGAACTCAAAAGTGTTTTCGTAGTAAAATACTAAAGTATTACTAAGACTAGCAGAATACCGATTCCATATTCAGTTACAATACGATATAATCACATTACAGTCAACGTTGGTTGTTGAACTCAAAAGTGTTTTTGTAGTAAAATAGTAAATGATTACTAAGACTAGCAGAATACCGATTCCATTTTCAGTTACAATACGATATAATCACATTACAGTCAACGTTGGTTGTTGAACTCAAAAGTGTTTTTGTAGTAAAATAGTAAATGATTACTAAGACTAGCAGAATACCGATTCCATTTTCAGTTACAATACGATATAATCACATTACAGTCAACGTTGGTTGTTGAACTCAAAAGTGTTTTCGTAGTAAAATATTAAAGGATTACTAAGACTAGCAGAATACCGATTCCATTTTCAGTTACAATACGATATAATCACATTACAGTCAACGTTGGATGTTTAATACTTTACTACGACAACACCTTTTATAACAGCTGTGAGATCGAGAGTTGTTCCGAACTGAATTGTGACCGAACTTTTATTACGAGAATTGGTCTTTACGTTTTACTGGCTGTAGGTATTTAATCAATGTACTATGTCTATTAACGAAAAAATATACAAAAAACACATAAGAAATTATATTTCTTCAGACTCCGGGTAATATTTTATCCTTTTTTATTTATTTCCCAACGTTGATGTTAACTAACCTGGCATTAATACATAGTAATATGCCCGTGCCTACGCACGGGCATATTACTATGTATGCATTAAAATAAAATAATAATGTCAAATACAATGCAAAGATATTAAGCAAAATCAGTATTTTGTGGCGTTTAATTTCGGGAAACTTACAAAGACGCGTACGCGTCTGGAATTTGGTTAAGACTCACAAAAAAAAAAGCGTGCAAAAAAAACCAGTAATCTCCTAATTTTTCCGAAATGAAACTATCCTCCGTGCTAGTAAGTTATATACAGCGCATAGTCACAGCAACCACAAGTTAGGCGATTTCGTCATTCAGTTTGTAAGAGAATATTAATTAAACGCAATTGGTAGCCATCGCGGAGACGTCTTCATTACAAAGGAATGATTCACGGTCGTTGAGTTCTTTTTCGTGTGCAGTACTGCGAGAGTAGCGACAGCGATCACATATTTCTGAATCCCGTACCTAAATAAATAAGCGTAAAATATAATAATAGGTCTTTACCTATGAAATTGCCGTTTTGTATGCAATAAGTGAAAGTACTTATTTTTTCAAACTTTTTTATTTCTGTTATTCGAAGTAATCACCCATGCAATCGACGCATCTTTGCCAACGCATTGGCAGTTTATTGATGCCCTTCTTGTAAAAATCAGCTGGACGGGAGGCAACAAACTCTTCAAAGGCATTTTGTACTGCCTCTCGGGAATTGAATTTTTTACCCAATAAAAAGTTGTCTAAATTTTGGAAAACGTAATAGTCGGTAGGTGCACTAGGAATATGTCCTGTGTAGCGGGGGACTTTACATACATGCGTGAAACGAACGGACTCCAAAACTCAGAACAACAATTTGTGGACTACACAAAGTGCTGTCCCGTGTGGAGTTCAAATCCACAACACTCAGCGCAGTAGGAAGCGGCGAGGTGACCGCTTAAACCACTACGCCATCCGTGTCGTCAGTTTATTATTCTATACATATTGTATAGCAAACGCTTTTTGGTGTAGCAGATGTCTAAGATTCTCTGGGAACATGTGTGTCGGTATCATCTTCATATCATTATAGTTTGTAATCATCCCTAGAGTGCGTCTGTTCCGGGTGATACGCCCAGTTAATACCACTGCTGGACTGTAATTGAACTTGAAAGTATGCAGATTGAATTGTGTATAATTTTTAACGGTAACGACGGTAGTTACGCTCGGGTTATTTGCCAACTTTGTAGACATTTGCGTAAATGTTGACTCAAAAGCTTTGTTATTTATATTAAGTAGGTATACAGTCGGTAAATGCCATAGTATTCAGAAACTTGATACCTGTTTCGTGTTTGCTACTAGGTTCTGCAACATTTTTTGCAGTATTCAGTAGCTGCACTTATTATTATTAGTATACTTAGAAGGGTTCGTGGCTAAGTTGGAGTGGAATAGCTAACCGAGAAGGTTAACACACTGCAAAGTTAAGCAATCCTAGTCAGGACAATCTATGGATAGGTGACCGTGCGTAACACATTGAGACCCCTCAGCACCTCGGAGAACAATTTAGAAATCGTTACGAGCAGTTGGGGCCTTAAAAGCCCGACAAAAGTCTTTCTACAGAACTTTACAGAACTTAGATTTTGGAGATCTGAAAATCAAATCGAAAGTCTACTAAGACTTAAAGCCGACCCAACCTAGTTTGGGAAGAAGACTCGGAGGGAAGTAGCTGCACTAACTTCATTTTAAATGTAGGTACTTAAAATCTTTGCCGATATCATACCGATCTAATGCGGTTTGCATCCACCATCAAGATGCGATCTTTAGAATGTTATTCTTCCAACTTGTTGGTAAATGTACCTGTGCTTTCCAGGTCTTCACTCCAGAATCTCTCGGCCTCATTGGCTATCCGTTCTGTGAGTGGTGTAAGCTTTGCATTGCCACTTCATTTGTTTAATACATTCTAATTTCTTAATTTACGACGATTCAGCAGATGGATGACTGGTGAAATTGCACTATTACACCAAAGCCTTTCATCAAAATATCAAAACATGTAATGATATAAATTATTCCCGTTCTTTCTATATTAGGAAAATTTAAAAAAATGTATCATGTTATTATTTTGGTATTTGCTTAAGAGCCATTAATGATTTTACAAAAAAAAGAACATGTGAGAAAAGGATGGTGTGATCAAAATTCAGTTAAATTTAATCTGGTATATTAACTAGACATTATAAGAATAGCCTTCTTCATTTATTAACCTTAATCTGCTGTTTTCATAGAACTATTTCGAAACTCGTATGTTTCAGATAACTTTCCCACTATGGCTGAACGCTGATATCCTGCCAGGCCCTGTGGACTCCACTACGAAGCCGGTTGACCCTGTTAAGTTCCTGGAACTCGGTGCTAAGCATCCACGCGCAGTCCTCTCCGTGGGTTGGACCACGAACTATGGCGGGAGTATCACCGAAGGAGAGTATAGCGGGGAGCAGATAGGCACTATGCTGAGAATGATCAACGAACACCGTATCAATCAAACTGTAACTTTTCCAGTGAGTACCTCTATCAAAAAAAGGAGAAATAAGATTGCTTCTCTTCTTGTCTCGTTCTCACTTCACTCTCACATTAATTTATTTGAGTTACTTAACGATATTGGAGCTGATTGTAAATCCCTTATGACCTCGCCTAGGTTAAGATGTAATAAAAATTGCAATGCAGATCTTGGACAAATTTTACTTTCTAGTCTGTGTGTCTGAAACAGTAAAGGTGTTACCTTACCTAAATCAACATTACCTGGTTAACTCATATCGTCTCCCATCGTTTTCTAGCCAAGGCATTCCAGAACTCTATAATCTCTATTTAAGAATCTCACTTTCTTAAAACCCTCGATATCTGAATCTTTTTAGTGGAGTATGTAGATTTGTTCGTATCGCCTAAATTTAGCTGGAAAAGAATAAATTATATGCTATGAATGTCAGTGGCAGTAGATGGTTGGCACTCCTTGGGGGAGGCCTTTTTTATGTCAGAGGGGGCAGACGGGTCACCTGATGAAAAGATGGTCACTTTTCATCAGGTGACCCGTCTGCCCCCACCCGTGAACGTCTGCAACTCACAAACGTTTTTATTCAGCAGTGGGCGGCAGTAGGCTGATGATGTGTCAATGGCAAATTTTAAAAACCTATGACATTTATTTTAAATGGAATTTTCTGGCTTTGACTGGCCTGTTGGTCTAGCGGATAGTGACTTCACTGCCAACTCGACCTCTGGGGGTCGTAGGTCCGAATCCCACTCAGGACAAATAATAATGTGATGAGCACGGTTATTTGTTCTGTTTCTGGGTGTAATTTACCTATGATATGTTTGTATATAGATATTTGAGTATGTTTATTGGCGGTATGGTTATGTACATACATACATATAGTACAGGCTCTGTCTAGTTTGGGATTTGATTGTCGTGTGTGAGATATGTGAAGCTATATTATTGTTACTGAGTATCTACTTACTAACAATAATATAGCTATTACTGAAGAATTAGCTATCACTAAAGACTGTGTAGTGCTAACATCATGTAAATGACTGCTTATGAAGTGATATATTGGATCTTTAAAGTGAAGTTAAATCATTTCCAGGTTCGCGCAGGCTTAGCAGCTAACAGTCAGCCTGTAATCTTAGACCTTCTTCGAGAAACATCTTCTCTCAATTGTTCAATGACTGTCTGGTCCAGCGAGGGAGACCACGTGGAGGTGAACCGTTTGCGAGCCCTGATTCTCACGGTTGGGTTAGAGAGAACATACCTGGATGTACCCCAGGACCTGGCAGCTAAACTTCACCTTCCCCCGCCTGATGCTAAGAAGAATTAAATAATCTATTGTATTTATTAAAAATTGTTTTATTTTAAGTAAAAATTGAAATGTTTTTTTTTTTTTACTTGACAAAAGGACAGGCAAAGTAGATACAAGCTAATTATAGAAGAAAAAAATACACAAAACCCACTGTTATATAATTAAAAGTTTGAAAACCGGTTATTTTAATTTTTATAATTTTCATGTGCCCAGTGTCACTTACAATTAAGACAAATCAAAAAATATCTCCTAAGACATCAAATCCATCAAGCCGTCTAGACTACTACTGCATCCGAAGAGTGACTGTCGCAACGAGGGAGAAGACCCGTCTTGGGTAGACGGATAAATACCGTCGTCGTTGATGGTAGCGGAAGAATATAATTGCGATTCTCGTTCCCCGGCCACTGGCAAGGAGAGGAACACCAGGGTGGTTTGTAGTAGGTAAGAGTCCGACAGACCCCTTCGCCACCCCCTAAAGGGCGAAGGATATCCATGATGATCTTCCACCTAGTTAATAAAAAAAAGCCGTCTAGACTACAGAGCGTGTTAAAGAAATATAGATCCTTTGTCACAGTCGAGTAAAATATATAGGCCGTTAAATTTGTTTTTATTTTTTCTAACCCGATTAAAGGTTTAATTGTATGTATATAATATGTTGCTATACTGAATAAGGAGAGGCCTATGTCTAGCAGTGGACTATTATAGGCTGTTGATGATGATGATGATGATACTGAATAAAAAAAGTAAGTAAGCCCAAACGATCTAAGTGGCGTGCTATGGGAGGCCTATGTCCAGCAGTGGACTGCGATAGGCTGATGATGATGATACTGAATAAGTTTATATAGTAACAAATTAGTTATGGTATTTAGATCAAGAAGAAAATTAGATAGATAGATAGGTACTCGTTATTGGACACCATAATTAGGATACATGCGATGATACTTACAAAAACACAGTGATACAATGGGCGCCCTTATCGTAGTCTGCGATCTCTTCCAGGCAACCTTAAGATGGACTATACTATATAGTAAAATGTAGCGTGTGGTGCGAATTTACAACTTCCGTGTATTAACTAATGTTTACATACATAATTACACATTCACGAATATACATTCATACACTTACATATATGTATACATATGAATACACACATACACATACCAATATAGTACATAGTTATTACAGAGATAAATAGTGATCCTTAACGAGTTCTTTAAAAGTACGTACTGACTTTGCCTGCCTTATAGCTTCCAGTAACGAATTCCAGAGGCGTGCCGCTTTCACCGTAAAAGACATATCGGTAAAAGTTGTGGAGTGTGTTGGAATTTCTAAGGTCAAAAGTAGGTATGACACCTTTGATCATTTTTATGTAAGTATATCAGGATAGAATGAAAAAGCTGACTTCAACTGTTGGCCTCTAAGTTAATTTCCTCTGTCGCTATGTGTATATCGGCTGCGTTGTCGCTATAAAATTTCTATGTTAATATATACGTTTAAAATAATGACCTAAGTATGATACATGCAATTATACGGTATCATAATCAGCCGTGCCCGGAAAAAACCTGCGTCAGCTGGAAGCCCTGCCCACTTAACTATGACCGACTGGAGCGCCTCCACGGGGGCAAAACCAGCTCGTGAAGCCTCCAGCCGGGACGACCAACGAGCAATCGTGGCTCGGCGAGCTGCTTCACACTACTCGCGTATCTCTTCGGATGGGGACCGCAGGGAACTCAGAATTCCGCCTATACTTCGGCGAGCACTTCCTCCTCCAAATCCCACGGGTGTGCTCCGGACAACGCGCACGCCGCCTTCGTCAACACGGTGCGGTAACGGCGTATGGCTCTAACCACCAATATCCTCTGAGGGCGCCAGAGGCGTGCCCCATTCTGGGCGGTCAGAGCCGCCGCCCATTCCAATACACCGTACAGTGACATTGACTGGACAACCCCCGTGTACACTTGCTTGAGGCTCCACCCAAATTGGCGGGGCCCATGAAACAAAATTGCCTCGGTCTTATCCAGGGCCACCCACCACCGCTATAAAACAATTTATCAACTACACAAAAAAGGTAAAAAAAATCATATAAGTTCAAAAAAAAGGGATTTTTTTTATAAAAATCTTAAAAGGCTAAAATCTTGAAAATGGTTAGGTTTGGGATATGGTATTGCATAGTGAAATCTATCTGAAATCATGGCAACTACAATCCCTTAAAGTATTTAGGTCGTACCCAGTAACCTTGTAGATATATATATATTTTACGAAGCGAAATAAAGCTAGAATGACAAATACATAAGATTTGGTGTCAGTGTTAGAAATTCCAGTTTCAGAAAGCACATAGCTGTAGATTATATAGATGTGCTCATTCCTTTATATGTGAAGAAAGTATTTAGCTGCAGATATTGTTGGTGTTTCCAATAAACCATAGAAACTGACGCGTTTAAACGCTGTTTATAGTGTTGAAATTACTGTAATATAAAGTGACTATCTCATGGCTGCCTATAAAGTGCCAGTTTCTTGGTACTTTTCATAGATTGTGAGAGATGTGTTTGTTTGTTTTGTTTGTTTTTTAAAAAGACAACGCCCGCATTAGGAATATATATTCCTGTGTCGCGGGGGACTTCACAAACATACATGAAACGGACACAAAGAACACCCAGACTCAGAACAACAATTTGTGGATCACACAAAGTGTTGTCCCATGTGGGGTTTGAACCCACAACACTCGGCGTAGTAGGAAGCGGCGTGGCGACCACTTAAACCACTACGCCATCCGTGCAGTCAAATGTGTGTATTTAATATTTTACAAATAATGACTAAACATTACCTAGTTGTTATACCTTGTGTATGTAGGTACAGTAGGGTGTGTAACGTCATACATTGATATCGTCATATCACCTATGTACCTGTGACGTAAAGCCTGTGGAATTGTGACAAAATATTTCCCTTAACTTACTTATTTTTTTATCAAATTTAATTGGACCAAATAGAAAGTAGACCCTTGCAAATGAAAAATTATTAAAAAAAAAAGGTTTTAGACGAAGTTTTCAAGATACAAATGTGAAAAAATAAAAACAACTAAATTGTTTCTTTTTAAAAGACAACGCCCGCATGCTAGAATATATCCTGTGTCGCGGGGGACTTTACAAACATGCAACAGTCACAAAGAACACCCAGACTCAGAACAACAATTTGTGGGTCATACAAAGTGTCATCCCATGTGGGGCTTGAACCCACAACACTCGGCGTAGTAGTGGCGTGGCGACCGCTTAAACCACTACACCATCCGTGCAGTCAAATTGAGAATGTCGTATTTTTTTAAGTAAACAAAAATCTCATTTTTTACCTTTTAAGGTGCAGAACCCTAAATAAATATTCTTCAATCCGGCTCTCTGTTTAACTCGTTCGTATGTGTATATGTTTTCGCTAAACAAATAAAAAAGATGGCAATAAATCTTACCCACCCAGAATGCCTTTCAATCGAGAGACGAGCCATAAAAATTAAAATCTTGAATCCACCACAACTGACTACTAATTAATACAAACTTTACAACCATATGATTATAATTCCCATTGTCTCAATGCGTCTTTCAGTCTGCCGAAGACAGCATCAAATTAAAACACTCCAATGTAAACCTTATGCATTAACAAATAAAGCGGCGTTGACTTTTAATAAAATATGTTAGCAGGCCGACTGAGAGAACATAAAAAAAGCATACACTCAAATTTCGACTTTGTCTTTAAGGGAAGAAGGTTGTATGTGTGTGCAAGTATAGTGTTGTGGGAAAGGGTGTCGACCTTTACCCATGTGGTTACCACGTGACTCCAATCCCGGCTTTGTCATTCATGCCATGTTGTGCTGCTAGACATGAATCTATTTAAATTGGTACCTGCAGAGACATTTGCATTCTAAGAATGGGACGACATGGAAATATCAATACATTCTGTTTTGTATGAACGAGCTTGTAAAGATAAAATATAAGTATGTAAATAAATGAGTTATGTGTTTCCTTATTGGATGGATGTAAATCTTTTGTTACCACTGAGGTTGTGAATAAGTATACGGTAAGCTGATATCAGTGTTTATAAATTAAGGCATTTATTTTTTGCTCGCGTCAATGTATGCCTCGTGAAAAAGAAAATAGCTCTTTTGTTTTATATTCATCTGGATTATTGCTGCTATAAGTTTAACAGTAAACTGCTGGACATAGGCTTCTCCTCACAAAGGAGGTTTTGGCCTACTATACTACGCTGGCCAGACGGGTTGGTATAAGGTTTGTTTTAAGTTTTCTTTCTCTTTGCAGTGCTGGTGTCCTGCGTAGTCGGCTCCAATGATTTTTATATATAAAATATACTAAATATACTTTTACGAAACGAACGGGATGAATAGGGATGGTGATACTCCGTATTGTTAATCAGTCACCACACGGATAATGATGATGATGATCGGTTAAATCGTGATAAACAGTCGAATCGAGTCGAAAAAGTCCGAGATCTGTGAAATAAATTATCACCTGCGGTATTTCCGTTCCGATACGACCTCAAGACCTTCAAGAAAGAGCGTACTTCTGCCTCCAAGGGCCGGTAACGCGCTTGACTTCTGAGTGTCAGGCGTTGATGGGTGACTGTAGTCAATTCCCATCAGGTGATCTCTGCTCAATTGCCTCTATAAAAAAAAGAAAAGAAATCTGAGCCCCATTTATCACCTCAGACTATCGGTGACCCTTTCAGCGATCTCAGTCAGAAGAAAGGATGTGAAAGACCTAGCGTAGGTTTCTAGCTCTCTTTATAGGAGGGGTCCGGATGTCTTAATAACAGCATTACTCGGATACCTCCTATTACAGGAGCAGTGTGGCACACCGTATGGTTTTAGTCGGTCCGAATTCGAGATAGTTTCTTCAGGTAAAAAGAAATAAATAAAAGGTCTCTAGATTTCTTCTTTCTAACACTTTTTTGTGTTTTAAATAGCTTTAGTGTTAAATTTCAACACGTATGCGAATGGTTAATTTTTGAAGTTAGGA